GAACAAAGTTTGGGAATATTTTAAATAGGCATAGTCTGTTGTCCTAAGCGCGAAATTGTTCGGCGATGATGTCATTCTTAGTAACAGGTTGATTGGCGGTATCCCGGGACCCTCATGATGACAAAGGCATGAATAATGCGACTTTGCTCCATACATAGGAAACGAGACGAAGCTAATGCATTAAGTCTACATGACTGGCCTTATATTTTATTAACTATAGACATTATACGATGCTTTGAGCTTTCGTGACATCTTGAAAATTCTACACTTTCGCTTGGTTCCTATAAGCCATGATTACATGTATGACATGTATCTAGGAGATGATCATTGAAAAAACGGTACTGATCCTGGTTGTGGAAAAAAACGACGAACGAAAGAAAATTAAAAAGGAAAATATAAACTAATGCAGCAAAGACTTTGCATCTTTCATGTTCCAGCATGCTTCTGACACACACAGTTATAAATAAAACGTTATTACCTGTCTGGTACACGTCACCTCCACGAGCCCAAAAAAGATATTGCAATTTAGATATAAAAGAGTACGAGCGATACCTACATTCCAAACAAGAGGGAATTTTTATTAAACACTTTGACGACAACAACTTTAGTTCGATCAGGCTGTGTTCACTTTAGTGTTGATGAGGCGATTATTACACAACCGGTCTGAGTTAATCCACTGATTTTGCATAAATTTGCATTTCTTGTGTCACCTCGACGGATATCGATAAGCAGAAATTAGCTTAAAGAGGGTTAACTTACGGTTAAAACAAGTGACACTGGGCTATGAACGCTTAGACTTGAGTCTGCGTGACAGTGGTGTTAACATTGGACCATTAGAAAAGACGACTGCCGAGGACTGACATATTGCGCCCTCCAGCTGTCACCTTGTCACGCACCACTTTCAACTCGTCGCCGGCTGCAGGTAGACGACAATATTTCGTGCAAACGTCATCCTCACGGCGGCGATTTTTTTTTTACATAATTCTTTGGTGTAATTCTTTTCACAAGCTAGTCTAGGAAGACTCGAAACTCGACCTCGAACTCGTCGCTGGATATTGATGACGACAAATATAATAATCGTGTGGTACGAATGGCAAAGTTCATCAGGCTCGCATTTCTTCTTCTATGGCTTCCAAATGCAGGCATTGCCGCAGATTTTTCTACCCGGGGGTCATCACACATCCATATACACGTACACACACAAACACACATATACATTACCTGTAGGTGCACCAGGAATAGGCAATCGGCTCTGCATACACGAGGCTCCGTACTCTGTGGTTTGTTTTGTTCCTGACCAAGGTTTAACCGGCTTTGGGTCTGCAAACCTTAAGTCTCCGACCGGAGGTTCAGCATATGGGATACCAAGATACTGGTGTGCTGTTTTGCCGTGTGGAAGAGTCTCAACCGTGCCAACAATTGCCCCGGACTCGGTCTGAACAACGGGGGAAAGTTTGTCCTCATTGACTTCAGCTAGGGTTGTCTTCGATACCAAAAGGACGGCACACGTCACGGTCAAGAAATAAGTACGAAATTTAACTACCTGCATATCGAAGAGTGTTTATCCGTTGTTCAGTGCTGCTGTGTATTTTTTTCTTCGACCCTTTTCTCACCTCAGTGACCGTGCATTGCCAATATTTTCAAGTAAGGTGTATCATGGATGTCACGCCATCTGCCTCACCCAATGACGTCAAAGATTTAGACGCATAAGGCCAAGCAAAAATCAATGACTATTTTAATTAGCGTTAATTTTGAGGTCTTTGCAAACATTGTTCTCTTCACAATAACCTGACCCCAATTTAAAAGGACACGATGGCAGTGGAACTGATATAATGCATCAGTCAATTCCACCAGTACCTGTCTCCCCTCGCCCCCGGACAAATTTTGTCACTGCCTGGAGGAGGACATTTGCCAATCCAGGACGGTACTGTTCATTGCAGTGCATTGCAGTGGCAGTGATCGATCTGTGCTTCATAATATCCACTTATCATATTTGTCAGTCGAATACTGTGGTAATAGTTCAAATGGGATAAGTCAATAAAGAGAGGGATCTGGATAGAGTGCATTCGTCTGTAGCGCCGGTGTAACACAACTGCAACATTTCACTTGCGCAAGGACACATGGCAAAAACCTGCAGTAACGAACACTATAGCTTGGCAATGAGATCACTTCACCGTCATCCCTTCATCTCAGTTGTGGCATGCTACTTCGTTTTCGGGTTACGGTTAGTCCGAGGCGACCAAGACGATATTATACGTCCTTCAACCGTGGAGACCGAGGCTGGAGCAGTCATGGGCAAAATCGAGTCTCTTCCGCTTGGTAAATCAGCCTACGAGTATCTTGGTATCCCGTATGCAGAACCTCCAGTCGGAGACTTGAGATTTGCTGAGCCAAAGCCTGCAAAACCTTGGACTGGAATCAGGGATGCAACGAGTTATGGAAAAGCTTGCCCGCGACCGAGTCTGCCGGTGCCGATTAGCGGTTTTGAGCCAGGTCAGGTTATTTCAAGCTAAGTTATTTGTCATGCTATTTGCTGCTAAATTTCGATGTTGCATTTCTTAGTTTTCGTATGCTTTAAATTATATCGGAAATAAGACGTTTAAATTTATTATTACAGAAAAACCTAGCATTAGGGGAAACGACTTTCAGCCCATTTTACCCTTCCTCAAAGAAATTGCTTGTGTGACTATCAGAGATTGCTTGAATTAGCATAAGTGCAGTTCTGTCGGTAGTCTGTCAACAGCGCAGCATGGGTGATGCACACTATTAAACCGAGCTATTCACGAGCTACTTTCTGAAAGTATACTGATCGGTATTTTTTCATGGAAGTCTTGTGCGTTCTTATAAGCATATGATATTTACAACTGAAGAGCAAATTGCAAATTTTCCCATCCTGTAAAAAAACAATCACAAAATTAAGTCATGAATAATTTAGTGCCGAGGGCATGTACTAAAACCAGGAACCTTGAAGATGGACTGTGGACGGTGGACTATAGACGATGGACGATGGACAATGAACGGTTTTGAGGTTCCGTCATGCAATTAATAACAATTAACCGACTCTTCAAAAACGACATTTGAAGAAAACATTACACAATTCAAACCTACAATAGACTACACGACAGAAGCTACCAAGATAACCTTGTAGACAGTTCACTCTTTCAGAAGTTAACTTTAGCGAAAGGATGTCGGCTCTACAAATTAATCAGCCTCTGCTAAGAGAAATCTATAATGACCCTTGCCTGCTTTCGTACAGAAAGAGGACGTCTTTGAAAAACATACTCGTTAGAGCAAAGCTTTAATGCATCAGTCAATTCCAGCAGTGCCCATCCCCCCCCGGGCAACCGCGGGGCATTTGACCACGTTGTCAGTCCCGGGGGTGGGGCATCCGCAATCTTTTCGCGGCCCGGGGGCTGGGCATTTGCGTACCCCGGGGCGACCCCCGGGCATTCGGCACACTTGTTTTGGAAAGTGCCATGGATGAGTTCATCGGGAAAGACGAGGCGTTTGTTGAACAATGGCTTGTCCGTCAGGGACTAGAGAAACTTGCAGATGTTTTTAAAGGTATGTTTTCTCAATTTTAGATATTTCTTCATTACTTGTAAGCATATAAATATAAGCGACAAGGTGAACTATATTTTGTTTATCACAAAACAATCACTGACGTGAACGTGACTATTTCGCATTTCGCATTCAAAACTAGCCTAGCATTTTTTAAATTCATGAAAGTGGAGATAAAATACTTAAGGTTTGCGAATTCAAATGATGCGATCTTCAAGACAGATCTTGCGAGCTTAAAATGCAATGCAACATCATTTAAAATGTCTTGATTCTTCACAGAAAAAGCAGTCTGCGAATACAGGCGCCTATCATCGCTCGCGGCTGGGGGCACGTCCGCCGCAATCCCAGCTATCGTCTAGCAAACTGTTAAAAACAAATATAAAGAAATAAATATAATCAGAATCTACTAACACGTACTGTTGTCCTTGAAGTCTTACCGTTTCATTAAAATACTGAATAGTTGACCGTTTTATTCACTGATTAATTAAAAAACTGCGAAGGTGTTGGAAAGCGACGATCCCGGGGGCTGGGCATTTGCCCTCTTTCTTCGTCCCCACCCCGGGACATTTAGACAGCTTATGTGTCCCCACCCCGGGGAATTTGCCCATTTAAAAAAAAAAAATGCTAATGCCCGGGGGTTAGCCCCCGGGGGGGGGATGGGCACTGCTGGAATTGACTGATGCATAAAGGTCAAAGTTTTCCTGTCTTCACCAATTATGTTCGTGTTTCGCCTGTCAACCATTTGCATGTCCACCGACCATACCCCCGGGGCGGTTTCTCCCAAAGGGTATAGTTTTTGAGGGGTTTGGGTTTGCATGTGAAAAGATATAGAGCTCCTGATTTTGACCATTTTGGTCTGAAGGAGGAAATGTATTTCACTCTGGCTTGACACTGTACTCCATTGGACACTGTACTCCATTGGAAACTTTGTCGACACCAACAAAGTACTCCGTTGTGCGATAGTGCACGTTCACCCTGGTCAGTTTGGACAACTAGACTGGAGTAGTGGAATATTTCCTAGCCGGCGAGTAGTGTCGCTGACTGAACTTTCTCTGCATTTGCAGACCTTAGCATAAGACCATCAGCCAGGTAGTGACGAATCCTGGGGGAAAAACGAAGAAAATAGGTCACATAATTCAAGAGTGATCTATACATTATCTTCTGCGGGATTTTTTTTTTATGAATAAATTATATATACTGTAGCTGGACTTTTATTCTTCGTAGGTAATAACTGATAGCTGATTTCTTGATCATAATTTGTGTCAATTCTAATTCAGAACCAGAAAGCGAGGATTGTCTTTTTCTTAACGTCTTTGTGCCATCAACTGTCAAACCTGATGACCAGATGGCTGTCATGGTGTGGATTCATGGCGGCGGATTCTCTTACAGTTCATCAACAGAATTCCCAGGAGGCATTCTGGCATCATTCAATGACATCATCTTGGTGACTTTTAACTATCGGCTGGGAATACTGGGTTTCCTAAACATCCCAGACACCGAAATAAAGGGCAATTATGGAATGCTGGACCAGGTATTTAACTAGTAATTAATTACTTTTATAATATGGCTTGTGTTTGTAGCCGATCTTACGCGCGCTCTGATTGGCCAATTGTAGGGATTTATTCTCCCGTAATGCTCACGGGCCGATTACGGGCCTACAAAGACAAAGCAAAAAGCAGTGAGTATACTCAACAACTTACCAGTAGCCGAGTGATCAAAGATTATGAGAGTGCGTTCGACGCCGTCACTTTAATACACATACCTTAAATAAATGGTTTCACTAGCTGACTTTGAAGCTCTTTCTATTGCTAAAATCAACGTTTTGCATCGACAACCGAGGTTTTACAGACAGATATATCATAGTGTCACAGTCCATGCCAGTTTAAGAGGTCCCTGTACGAACTATGATTTGTTGATTCGTTGCGTGACAGCGCCAGTTTCCGTAGACTCAAATTTCGTGCTAAATTATTCTCTCATTAACTGGTAATGTTTAAGCGTAAAACTTAATTTGAAAAAGTATATTTTATATACATTATTCTAAGTTTGAAGCACAAATATAAGCAAACATTTGCAGTCGTGATCTCGTTTATCGTCAGCGTAAACAAACTCCGTGCCGGACTGGTTCGCGTATTTCCCCTAATGAATAAAGTAGACAGTATTTACGTAATTTGCCGTTCCTTGGTTCAGGCACACTCTTATGGATCTTTTTCCACCGATTCCAAAAAAAATTTGACGGGATAAAGACTGAGCTGCATGTATCTGTCGCGATTGAAGCTAATCAACAAATGCAATCAAAATATAGATGTTCCCACAATTAACATTCCAAAGCCAAGGCGATTCAAAGTCGTGTTCGTTAACATGCAAAATAAACCAGGACAATTCCCTCAGATTTCGATAAATGCTACCGTCGAAGCTTTTATATTCATCAATATCCAACGCTGAGGGCACAAAATAGCTAAGCCCACGGTGCCTGAATGGAAAGAAGTCAACGAAAGATCCACCGCAAAGACGAGCTCGCATGGCCTGCTTACATGCTCACATGTTCACCACAAGTCTTATCACATGTAATCACATGTCTTAGTATCAAACAGTACCAGTTTACTGGCCGTGACATGCCCCTGCAAAAATCAAGTGGGGTGGCAATTTTGGTGTCCTTACAGGAATGTGGAGTCTTTCTGCTTATAACCGTACACAGGAAACGCAACTGTGGAAAGCCACAGGCCAAAGTTAGGTTTGCGTTCTTCGAACGCAATTAACCTCGAACGTTCGGCCCTTACGGAAAAATCTCAGACCTCGACCTTGCCCGAGCGATTGGTCTCGGACTGAGATTTTCCCGTTAAGACCTTGCTCTCGGTTAATAAGTAGTTAATCGTGCTCATCTAAAATTCTGCGTGAATTATTTGGGTGATAAACGTTCTTGGTGGAAAATATGTGGGTGAAGCGTAAATGAAGCAGTAATTTTGTTTTATTATTTTAGGTCCTTGCCTTGCAATGGGTCCAAAACAACATTGCCAGTTTCGGCGGTGATCCCAACAGAGTGACCTTATTTGGTCAAAGTGCCGGGGCTGTATCCGTGTCACTTCAGTTGCTGTCACCTTTGTCTAAAGGTTTATTCAAAAGAGTTATCATCCAGAGTGGCTCAGCCTCGTACCCGCTTTACAGTGGCAAAGTGAAAGATACCAAGCATTTGGAAATGTTTGCCAATCTGGTGAACTGTAGCTTGGGTCCACAACTGATTTCATGCGTAAGGGGAAAAACTATTGAAGACATTTTGGAAGTCCAAAGCCAAATTATCTATCCCGTGTACCGAGGTCCGCAAGATATCGCTGGTCCTGTTGTTGACGGCGAGTTTTTGCCAGATCTACCCGAAAAACTGTTGAGAGATGGCAAATTTCACCGAGTTGATGTTCTGACAGGCACTACGTCAAACGAAGGAGCCTTGTATGCGATGCTGCCACCAGATCAGGTCGAGAATGGAGTGGAAAGAAAATTGTTTGAGTCTTTTATCAAGGATAGCGTCGTTTTTACCCGAGGAAGAAACGTCTTCGCTGAAAAGGCCGTTCTCTTCAAGTACACAGACCACGCTGACCCAGAAGACAAACTCGCCATGCGGAGATCAATGCTTGAATGCCTTGGTGATTATGCATTTGTTGCACCCATGCTACGGGATGCTAAGGCTTATTATCAGGTTTCTAATTTTGTTTGATTTGTTTTAATTGTTAGTCAGGTTTTACAGACACATGATGCCCAATCTCAATAACTATTGCTTTCCACTGTGTATCAGGGACGGATCCAGGATTTTTCAAGGGTTGGGGGGAGCTGGTACCTTGGGGTTGCAGAATCTATGGAACCAATTTGAGAATTGGAACCTGAAATACTAGCAATGCCGTGAAGTAGAAATTTCATTGAGGTGCCTGTCCAGAGAGTTGGCCATTATATCTACCCTAACATTCAAAACCAACTTTCTTCAATTTTTTTTTTATGTTTTGCTTCTCCGATAGACAGGTGGCTATGATGTAACCGCGTGTCAAAGTATCCTATTGTTCTTTGCATACATACATGACACCAGTTAGCAAGCTCGTAACAGGTTAAATGCATTCCACTCCCTGATTATTTTGTTTGTTTTTGTTTTTTTTGTTTGTTTGTTTGTTTTTTCAGAGAGGACTAAAGACCTACAGCTACCTGTTTAACCACACTCCAATCCATTCTCCGTATCCAGAGTGGATCGGTGTAAGTCATGGCATGGAACAGGGCTTTCTGTTCGGAGCACCTTTCAAGACGTTGTCATGGTTCTTCACGATGCTAGTGCCAAAATATTCTGAAACAGAGAAGGACTTAAGTCTGAATATTATGAAAATGTGGACGAGTTTTGCCAAAGATGGGTAAGGAAATTAAGAAAGTGCCGTTAAATATATTAGTCTGGACTCAAACCAAAACAGCACATTCTTTCCGTATAATTACACGACATTGAAATTTCAGATAACTGGGAATTCATTGTAAGCCATGAGTGCTAATATAAGGACAACGTTTAATTTCAATAACGTGCTCCAGCCCTGCTCCAGTCCATCACGAGTCACGTGCGCCTTGTCCACAGAACCTTTCTATAGGTCAGCGGTACTACCCCTGTGCTTCGAGTCCTTATAAGTTAGGAACGATCAGGAGATTATGCGGAACAATCAGATGATAATACATCTTATTAATGTTTGCATTCAGTAATACCTCACTTCTGATGGGACCATTTTTTTTCTTACGAACGTCCACTTTTCCCGTATGAAGATAAATTTTCGCAACAGCCTTCACACGACCACAATTCTGATTTAACTGGCATCTAAGCTAAACAAGAGAGCTCATAACAGAAGCTTTTAAAAAACAGACCAACGTCGGAACTGTGAATAAGTTTTCCCCGATAGCAAAATCTTCAGATATCCATCGATTACGTTTTCCATTTATTTTCCACCTTCCTTAGGGATCCCAGTCCACTGCCAAATTCCGCGTTCTCTAAGTTCACATGGCCTGAATTCACTGAGGATGAACAAGCTATTCTTGTCATTGACTTGCAACCGAGAGTAGAATTTGGATTCAAACACGCAGGTATGGTTGCCTTCTGGAATGAATTGTTCCCAACATTAATTCAAGAGGGAGAAAGAGATGCAGGAGAGACCAAGGAAAAGATCTCGAAAGATGAGTTGTAGAGTCCAGATGTTCTTCAGTGCAACATTTTGAAGATGAAATAGTTCCATATATATTGGTCATCAAATGGCCTCATTCCAACGTCAACGTCAAAGCTAATTATAATCAAACAGTGTAATCTATCGCCGCCCATCAAGTAGAAACCTTATGTCCACTGTGAAATGTAACAATACAAGACTTATTTTCAAAATAGTCCATTACCGCTATGTGATTATCACTTTCATTAATTTCATCGAGGAGGTATTTATAGCTTAATTACAATTGTAGGCTGTAGTCTATTTGGATAGTTTTACTTTTAACACTGCTCATAATTGGGAGAGGATCAAGTGGTGCGATAGGCTTAGCCTTCAACAGTTTCTTAAGATAGGTTTGATCGAATGGCTCATTGTTTATTCTCGTTTCGTAAAATAATGACCCCAGAATTGTCAAGTTGTGAATATTAGCTCCTTTCTTTGAGTTTCCAGTGATGCGTAACGTGTAACCTTGAAAGAGAAAACTTCCTCTGCGCTGACACATAATTAACTTCTAGACTCCGATGTCTTGAAATCATAACAGGAACTTACTCTACGGGAAATAGCTGTTTACCATAGTCTCTCCTCAACATATTACCCATACCAATCGTAGATTGAATAAAACTATTAAGTAAATATTTTTTAACAAACAACATTGTCTTTAGTACATTCATTAAAATGCGTGTATAACAATCAGAAACAGTATGTATCATGAGTTGTTTTTATCCGGACACTAAGGGGGTCCGGAGCTCTAGATACGAAAGTGCTGACAATGAACAATTTGCTACGTACCCCTTTAGGCTGAAGCTCCCAACATCACCGTCAGGCACAACAAAATAACTATTTATATCCAGTTCCCCGCTAACCAGATATTTTTGGGCGCGGTACTCAAAACTAACCAATCAGCATTAGTTGCCGTTTCCGTTTTCAAGCCTTTAAAAGTACTTAGTGTATTTTCCACAACCAGTCTGAAGGGAGAGAAACTACGACTAACATTCTCATTACAGAGGTAAGTGATTGTTTTGAATATATATCATTATCGCTCAGTATAATGTGCTATTATCGCGTAGTTTAGTGTTGTTTTGTCCATGTTTGCTAAGTTGGCTCAAAGCTCCAGGCTGCACCAATCTGCGCAGAGAAGGCATTTACAGTTCGGAATAGCTGAAAACGAATGTTTATTTGATATTTTTATAAGCCGGCCACAAATTTATAGATTCGTATCTTTGATAGCTGTGCTATCTTCGTTTAATGGAAAGGTGTCTACTTAACTATTTTTTGTTTGTTTACGTATTATCTAAACCAGTATCCCTAACAGATTTAGTCATCAATTTAGCCTATTCTTGAGCTTGGAAGCAGACGAACAGGAAGAGGTTATGATAGAATGGACTCTGATCAGCTGTGTGGCCGCGATTAAACAGATGATGTAGTTGAGAATCAGGGCAGCGTTAGCGCTCAACACGAGCGAAACCGAAAACTGCGAGAATCAGTGGTTAAAATCAATTAATCCAGAACTTAGATCACGTTTGTTCATGTTCGCTTTTTTTTCTTCCAGAAAAACTGACTGCACTGTTCTCAGACCAAATCGTGGTAGCCTGTCTTGTTGATCGTGAGTCCAAAACAGACAGATGAAGATCATGACTTTTCGCCGTGTTTTGTGGACGTTACTGCTCCTTGGTAAGTTGAAAGCATGTTAGTCAAAAGTAACTGAGTTGTAACATATCCCTTCGTACCATGCAAAATGCCTCGAGTATTGTAATATCATATGAAATTCACAAAGAAAGCAAAGGGAACTTGAAAAGCGCAAACCTCTCTGTCAGCCTTTTCTTTCCTTATTGAGGTGCTCAAAACTCAATACTGTTATTTTGTTGTGCAAGAGATGATTGCTGTTATACAAGATGTTTCACCAACCTTTCATAATTATATATCAATCTTGTTAAATTTAACTCAGGAAAAAAGACACTTATTAATAGCTCAAAGAGTAGAAGCTCCGCAGACGTGAATGGTCTATAAATCTCTAAAAATAACCAGGGAAAAACTGTATTACTAAAATTGACCAAACTAGTTCATTATTCCATAGTCGCGAGTTTTCTCTCATAATTTTGACATTGAAAATCGAATATACCAAAGTTTGCGATTGACTCAGCAAGCAGATAGATCTGTCTTAATTAAATGTCACCTCTGAAATACAGACACGTTTAATTTCCCATCCTGTACCAGTTCCTCGGGAAACCCCCTTTCAACTCCTTTTGTATCATGCGTTCGGTTATTTCCGGGGTATCAATATGTCAAATTAACGCCGGAAATTAAGTCTTTCAGTTTCTCACGTTTCTTGACAATGTTAACCAATAAAATTATCCTGTACGTTTTAGCGGCCAATAATAATGGAAAAAAATATTTCCCATAGCAATCTTCACAGCTCTCTAGTAAATTATATCGTTCTGGAGTTTAATTAAAAACGTTTCTTCCAGTAAAATGTGTTGTTGAGATTCATAGACTACGAAGTCACCAGACACTTCCTCTGTTATTTAGCCAAGATACTCTTTTTTTTTTTTGGCCTTAACCGAAATTAAACTACAAGTCAGTGAAAGAAAAAGACTGTTTGGACGTTGTACTGTGGCTAGCGAAGTTTTCTACTGCTAGGACGAGCTCACATTTCGTCAAATTTACAATAATGTCAATTGAAAAGGAACTGTTTTCACTTTCACAAGTGTACGGCTTTCACTTTCAAAAGTTCTTTTGCCATCCATCAACGTAGGGTGTTTAGTGTCGAGATGACTTTCCTTTTCTGGGCACAGATAATAATATAATGTAAGGTAGTCTAAGTACTGTGCATTTTCGGTTTCAAAACAACGATAACTCTTTATGTATGCGATTAAAACTGGTTAATGTAAATTTTACACCAACTTCCTTCCGCTGGGAAACTAAGTGCGCTGAAATACTGCGCCCGGTACTTATTGAACAAACAGGAAGTTATTAAATTCCGAGGGAAATCCCCAGATTATCTTGGGGTACTTGATTACCTGTTTCGTTTCCTATATTTAACGGAACAATTCCCAGAAGTGACCGGGATGAAGCCAACCGGAAATGACGAACCGTTACTTATATGAACTGACTGATAAGTCATTCATCGGTAACACAAGGTAGAAGTTTATTTGGCGTGACAAGAAGCTAAATCACGCGATCTTCTTCACGCAATCTCCTTGCGTGACGACCTATGGTGTGTGACTTTCCAAAATTAACAAACACAGATTTAACATAGTAAAATGTGGACCTACTTATTTCTTTAGGAACAGTATCAGCACGATATTTGTGCCCTGGAGAGGTTATAACATTGAAATGTGACCATGGAGCACTGAGAAACGGCGATGAAATCGAAGACGTTGTATGGAAGGTGAATGATTCTCAGGGGTGGACCAGTGTCGCTTCCTGCAACGGATCTCTTGCTTGCGCGGTAACCAAGTCAGAAGTAACTGATGGTATCAACGTGCTTGGAATTTCTAACGGCGCTCTCACCATAAATCGCACAGCGCGGAACGCTGCGACCAGCCATATGGATTTCAAGTGTGAAATACACAACGGGTCACACACTCCCACGCACACAGTCAAGATTAAACTCGACGTGGAATGTAAGTCTGATTTTAGCTCTCCTCGGTTTCTCGGGTCGGGAGGGGCAATACCTGCACATTTTGATTTCTACTTTAAGCAGGGAGAACTGATTAGCAACACAGTTTTCGAACAGTTTTATTTTGTAATATAATCAAGCTTGGGAGGGTCCCCTCCTTATTACGCCTAAACACGGGGCCTAAACTGGGACTAGACCACCAGTACAGTGATATTTTACGTTTTCGTCGAAGAAAGAATATCTTATTGGCTGGAACGTGTAAGATTGTATTTAACCAAAAAACAACGTGTGCTGTCAGTCTTGAACTGCCTCTTGTCCCGCAGACTAACACAGTGAAGTTCGGTCTCGTTCCACGGGAAAAGTACTGGAAACGAGGTTGAGAAGTACTCTAACTCAACGGAACCAAAGAGAAATCTTGACTGGCAAAAAGTCAGGCTAAAATAAGCTACGGTTGCATAAAACGACAAAAGCTGTACGTATTTACAGCTCGGTTGATCGAGCAATTTTAAATGGTCTTGTTAAGTTCAATTTTTATATATTCTTTTAATTGCAGGTATTTGGACTCATGTGGGAGCTGATGTTAATTTGACTGGACACTTCACCAAAATAGTGGCGTGGAAACATGTAGAAGACATAGAGCTTTACGACACCATGGGTGCAAAACAAAAGCTCGCCTACTGTAGCACTACACGTTGTGCACTGGAAAAAGGTGTTAAATCACCGCCAAGATTTTGGAACCGATTACAAAACAAAAGTGACTCCATACTGCTGACCGGAATAGAAGAGGATGATGGAGCCCTTGAGATGAGAGTGGAAATTCATTTAACAGGGTCACAATATCGGGCATTTACGCTCAGGATTCGCCTTAATGCTCCACCGGGTACGTTTCTGTTGGAATTCGATGTGATACCTTTTTTTTTCCATTCAATATCAAACTTTTCCACCTAAGTCAGATAAGGTGTTTAAAATTAAAGTTAAGCACAAACGTTTATTCCATTACTGCGCTGTTTTTTTCCAAATGAATGTCTCTTAGAAATATCATAGTCGCTGAAATTGCTTTATCATCTTCATTTTACTGCCATGACTCACTATGTTTTTAATTTCAGGCCCAGACAACTCGTCTTCTACCTTAACTAAACCCTCACAAACTGAACCGGTGAGTTTCCGTCGAGCAAAGGTTTGACTTCTTGCACTGTTGGATTTTCACCATTTTTTAATCAATGAACCAGCAGATCTTAAAAGTACAAATTATCCACTCAGAAAGAACACTTTCCGGTAGATTCTCAGATTTACTTAAGTTCTTGCCCACAACGTAAAGCAAGAACAAAGGGCACTTAAGCAGTGCCTCTGTTAGACAGTCGTACATGCATCGATATGCATGCGAAAAACGAGAAAACGGGCGAATCCAGCTTGCCACCGAACTACATGTATCTTCAAAGAAACTTACTGTTATTTCAGCGCTAAAACAAGAGATCTAAAATATTGGTGAATCCAAGAAGTTTGAATCGTTTTAAGCCTGTCAACAACCTGATTGAACTTGCGTGATTTCCTCTTGACAACATCGTGAGTAGTGAGCAGCAAAAACAAGGTCACGTAAATAAGGGTTTTCTACAACATAGTCTGCCCCCCTTCTGGTTATTGATGAAAGTAAATTTTGGTTTGTCTGATAATCTTCTTTTGCGTATTAAACACAGCCCTTTCAGCTCCAAGGCTATAGTAGTGCTCCAATTGTCCCGACAGAATCCGGGCAAGTTGTTGGCAAGATCGAAACTCTTCCTCTGGGTAAATCGGTATACGCCTATCTTGGTATCCCGTATGCAGAGCCTCCGGTTGGAGAATCAAGGTTTGCTGCTCCAAAACCTGCAAAACGTTGGTCTGGAATCAGAAATGCCACAGAATATGGAGCCAGTTGTCCTCAGCCAGATTATCCGCTACCTCATGTGAAGATTGCCGGACAAGGTACTTAAACGCTGAACATTTTAACATGTTTGTTACTAGAAGATAAATATTCGATGCATATAAAGCAGTGAGAAAGCTGTCGATTGCCTAAAACCGAAGGAAGATTAAGTGAAGTCAGTGAAATGTGTCGCATTTTATGTGAAGCCCCTTCTCTGTATAAAAACAAATTTTCCTTTAGATATTGCTAGTTATTATCATGTCCATTACTGCTTCATTTATAAATATTTCCGAGCTACATACAGTGTAGGATGGCCACTTGGCTAGTTAAATCGCTGTTCTGATTTTACGCTCTTTGCAGTATCAATATTGAACAAAAGAGCACACATCTCTTAATTGTTGGAATGTAAATTCAGGAGTTTGTTTTTACAGAAAATGAAGATTGCCTTTTCCTGAACGTGTTCGTTCCATCGACTACAAAACCCGATGACAAGAAGACAGTGATGGTCTGGATTCATGGCTTCTTGCCTGTTGTTCCACGGGGACGTGGCCGTGCGTTCACATTGGGCTCATCGACTGAGTATCCAGGGCATGTCTTGGCTGCCTTCAATAACGTCATTGTGGTGACGTTCAACTATAGGCTAGGAATTCTGGGATTCTTCAATGAGCCTAAAACCAACGTAAAGGGAAATTATGGGATGTATGACCAGGTAAATATCGGTCGGTTTATCGCTGTTGCGTATACTTGTTTGAATATGAAATACTCTAGACTATGGTACGTCAAAATTTAAACCATTCTCACGTAAGACTATTATTACAGAATCACTCTATCTGACCAAATACGGTCACGAGGAGAATCACCTTAGCATTTTGTATTGAACGGCAGTGTTCCGGTGTAAAGCTAAAAAGCAAAATAGAAGGATATGGAATGAAAGAATCACACTGTTTTGTTCATTTCCTGAATTTTGATTTTCCACCATCGAATAGGTTGCATGTCTCAAATCCCCTTAGTATTCCCCTAAAAGTATCAAAATTGTACTTCGAAACTGCTAGAGAGGCTAAGTTAGATCCAGCACTGACAAAACAGTAATTTCAATTTATTTGCACGGCAGATTCAAGCATTAAAGTGGGTTCAAGCCAACATTGCAAGTTTTGGTGGCGATCCCAACAGAGTGACCATATTTGGTGAAAGCGCTGGAGCGTCTAGCATTTCCCTTCATTTAATCTCGCCATTGTCCAAAGGTTTGTTCGACAGAGCCATCTTACAAAGCGGTGCTGCCTCTTCGCCCTTGCCAACAGGGAGAATGGTTAACACGTTGAAAGAGTTAAAAAGCATTGCCAACTGTAAAGTGGGAACCAAGCTTATTCAATGTCTGCGAAGCAAAAGCGCCGAGGAAATTGTTTCATTGCAAACAAAACTGTCATCGAGTTCTTTATTGAACGTTACCAGTCCTGCGGTTGATGGAGAATTTCTCCCTGACCTTCCCGACAAGCTTTTCAAGCTGGGAAAGTTTTCTAACGCTAAGGTTGATGTTATGATTGGTTTTAACTCGCACGAAAGAGCATTAAGGGTTGCCCTTAAACCAGGAAATCTGACCCAAGATGGAGTTAACAAACAAGAGTTTGAATCTGACGTCAAAATCACACTTGAACGAGGACTAAGGTCACTAAGGAAGGACAGATCCAGGATAGCCGAAGAGCTGGTTAGATTTCACTACACAGATCACGATGACCCGGACAACAAGACAACGATCAGGGAAATGATGATTGATTTTGAAAGTGATTTCATGTCAGTCGCGCCGGCAATGTTTGAAGCAGAAACTTTAGCAAAGGTAAAAATCAACATTCCCGAAAAACTATATTCTACTTAATAGTGGAGAGAATAAGGTGTGATGGTTGTCAGACCCGGCCATGGGGTGTGGTTTGGTAGAGGCAGATATTCCTAGCATTATCCCCATCAGATACCAGTTACAATAACTGCATCACTTCTACAGACTTGTGAACCAAATACTCAAATTCTTAAATAGATTACTAATTGCATGAACGTGAAAATTACCGTTCTGGATCGCGAGCACCACCTTGATTCTATTGCTTGTCGCTTACCAATCTTTGTGTTGCCGTTTCCAGTGAGACTGGTTAGCGACAATCAATGGAATAAAGGTGCTTCGCCTGCATAATATTATGCAATTACACGTTTATTTAATGTTACTTTCAACTTCCTTTTGACTTTAAATTGGAAACAAAGACAACAAAAGTTCATGATTTGTCGGCGATCTAAATCCGTCATGTTTCAGCCAAATATGTACACCTAAGAAATGTCATATAGTGGTAGAACAGCTAATAGAAAAGACCCAATTTTTCATTACAAAATTTTTCCTGTAAGTCACTAGAATATTCTGAAAATTCTCATAATATAAATCATTTTACTTTCTGACCCTTGAGTTATATCTATACAGATTATATAGAATACTTTTCCATGAAACAACCCAGTTAAGTTTTCCTTTATCCCAATCCCTCTTCCATGTTAGAACTCAAGTTTTTTTGTATTTTTTTCTTCCATAAACAGGCCGGAACCAATCTCTATTTTTACATCTTTGAGCACCGTCCTGATTTCTCTCCGTTTCCGCAGTGGACTGGTGCGGTCCATGGAGTGGACATTGGGTTCGTGTTCGGTGCACCATTCAAGCAGATGTGTTCTTTGGTTGACTTTTTCACTCCCAAATTTTCGGAAATCGAGAAGGGATTCAGCCTGTACGTCATGAAACTATGGACAGACTTTGCGAAATTTGGGTAAGTGGGTGCTTCTCTTTTTTGCTGTTGTTTTCTTCCGAAAAAAAAGCGAAAAGAATGGTGCGAATAGGAGGAACCTAACGGCTCTTGATGGTGACCCCTCCTCCCGAAGTTCTGAAACATGAAAAGTCCAGGGCTTCGCGCCTGACACATTACTTTCACCTTCACATACGCTCTTCATCTGCAATGTTTTCACTGTATTTCAATCGGTCATACTCTGCATTCGGGTCAAAGCCCCACCGTTAAAGCCTATATTGATATCATTAGTATGAAGCATTGAGAAGCAATACTATTCCCTTGAAGCCCCTCCCCCAACCCGCCTCCACCCCACCCCATCCCTTCCCCGAGTGGGAAATGAACCTTGCCAATACCCATTTCTACCCTGGTAATGTTTACGTAAAACACAGCACAATGACTCCAACAAGGGACCACTTGATTCCGATCACAAAGCAGTAAACTTTAAATCACCACGCCTCACCAGCTGTATAAAAGAAAACATCTCATCCCTTATGTTTTATTGCCAGGTCTCCAACTCCTTTTGGCTCCAGCTTTTCGCCAATCACCTGGTATCCTTTCACCGAAGAGAATCAGTTTTACTTGGCCCTCGATGTGAAACCGAGGCTGGGGCAGCACTATAGAGCAAGAGAAGTAACATTTTGGAATGATCTTATTCCTAAGATTATGACGAAAGGAAGAAGAGGGAAGTCAGGAAGAGCGCTTTAGAACGGACAATTTGTAACTGTGATACCAAACAGAAAAAGAAATTGGAAATATGGCGCTGAAGAACTGTTGGTATTGCTTGACTACTTACATGTACGAAAAACAAACTCTGTCAAAGGACCTTTGGAAGGATATCAGAAACTTAAATTCTGAGTACGAAAACTGAAATTTTCAATTCAGACATAAATATATATATCAGTCATAAAAAAGTAAGTCTTGCTAAGTAAAAAAACTGCTCAATGCTTTAAAGTAGAGCTATGTAGTATGTATTATAAATCCTAATTGAGTTCTCCGTGTATATCAGTCATAAGGCACTAGCTAGCAACTCCTAACAATTCATTTGAACAACTACTTAAGTCTGCTTAAATGAAAGTAAAATGAAACTGAAGAAAAAAACACGAGAACAGTACAATTTCGGTCAGGTTTAGAAAAGAAGTAAAACCAGCACAATAAGGGCAGCAAGTACGAGATTCCAGGCTTTGATATCCTTCCTTGCCGAGGATGAATTCGCTGCAAGAGAACAAAAATCAAAAAATTGCATCTCATTAAAGTCAAACAATTACGTGTCAGAATGTATCATAGTCATGCGACGCTTTCGAGTCGTATGCTTAAACAATAGACCCCTCTTTCTATGGATTTACTGGCGCAATAAACCACGCGGGATGTTGGGAAAACACGAGAAAAGCTTGGCCGTGCACGTGCGTTATTAATCTTTGTACATTTCTTTGCCGTCCACAGCAAAACAACAACGTGAAATGACTAACTTCTGCGTATTCTTAAGAACGCGAACGACGGCGGTTAATTTTTCGAATTTTGTTTGGAATTGAACGCTGGCGTTACATATTTAGCTTTACGGCAAGTTGTATGACCAATAGGCACACTGAACAGATCTAGGCAATTGCGGAATTCGAAGGTTTTACTAGGGGTCGCCGTCGTCATTGCTTAAGCTCTTTAATAAATTCTTAAAACCAACGTTTAAATTGATGTGTCTATTGGTAAGGACAGTTGATATCTGGAGATTACAAAAGTCGAGGGTGAACAGTCAAGGGTGAATCCCTTACCATCACAGAAGTTGAAGCCATCACCAGAGAATCCTTTAGGGCAAATACAGCTGTAGCTTCCTTCAGCATTCGAGCATTTGGCGTCTTTGGCGCAAGCATGTTTCTTCTCGCACTCGTTGATGTCTACGGCGAAACAATAAAACTACTAAGTATTGATTTCTGTTTCTGAGAAGGAACTACCATATTTGGAGGAGGTAGGGATAAGCATTTTTTTCCTGAGAAAGAACTTCTTAAGCTCTAGTTCTGGTAACAGGGTCTTTTATAGATTTGGTATTTTCCGTTTAGTTTGTTTAGCACGATTTTGATTATGTTAAGAAGAATAAATTCATTAATTCATTCTTTCATTATAATGGTAATCCGAGTACACCAATACGAGCCTTACGGATGGGGAGGGTGGAAGGAAGTAACTGTGAACCAAAACTCAGTTATTCCTTTCCCATTAGCTCGTGACGTCAGGACATTTGAAGTCACATAGCTTATTTCCAGGATCTTGAGATACCTGGGGTATAAGTTAAAAAGTGTCTGTACATTGCGGACCCACGAATGGATTCCTTCGGTGACGTCAGAATCTGAGCTAGTAGTCTTGGATAAGTTGCTTAATAGCAAAAGATTTCTTTATTGCGTTATTAAAATACACATTACCCAGGCACTTTCTCTCTCCTATGTTGAAGGCATAGCCTATTTTGCATCGACATGAATAAGTTCCAGGTTCATTCTCACATGACAGATAGTGGTAAGTTCCACAAGGAGAAGCGATGGTTACACACTCGTTGATATCTGAATAAAAGATTCACGGAAAATGCAGTAAATAGCACTCATTAGACTTTTCTCAAGTCAACTTTAGTATCAGAAACAATACTGAAAAA